CGTCTCAAGACGGTCGACGATTTCCAGACGACTGTCTCTTATACACATCTAGATGTGTATAACTGTGCAGTCTGCTCTCCCTGCTGGCGAAGATTCTCGAGACGAACGAGTACAGCGAGATGAAAGAGAGCGTGAGAACCATGTGCGACTGTCTGTTTCTCGGCGGTAGCTTTCTGAACTCGAAGAAAGATAGAAAGCTCTTCACCTTCAAGGAAGGCAAGCTGATACAGAACAAGATCGCGTACGCGCGCGATATCAAGAAGATGATAGCCGTGCCCGGCATCGAGTCGCCCTCTCCTTACATCGGCGATACCAAGCCATACATGCAATTCGGCAAATACTATCCGGACACGAGGTTGACGGCGAAGGAGTTCTGTCGAAAGCTGTTCACCTGTTCCCGCGACAACGACTCGACGCGAAAGTTGATGTTGAAGAAGGATACCGGTCTCGACGACGAAGACTTCGAAAAGCTCGTACGTGCGTGCTTTTTCGTGAAGAACGTCGAGATCGGAACCACGTACCGGCTGTTGTGGTACGTGGCCGATATCGAGTTTATGAGTCCGGCGTTGCATCTCGTCTTGACCTGTCTAGTGTACGGGCGCGTCGTGCACCACCTCGCCGCCGAGGACCTCCCTCTGCGACCATGCACGTGGACTCTCTTCTTCGGACGCAGCAAGGAGAGCGTCCAACAATGGAGCGACGAAAGGATCGAAGCCGAGATAGTCAACGCCGAACGAGTTTGGGAGGCAATTTCCTCGTCGCGGGACACGCGCAATACCTGAACATAGGAATGAAGGAAGATCGTGCGAGCGTCGCGTGGCTGAAGAAGACGGCTGAGGTGATAGAGTCGGAGTTCGCGAGTTTCGAGAAGGTGGCGTTAGACGTGGATTTCTACCGACTGTTCGGATCCGTCGTTTCTTACGTGCAAGAACGCGATTTCCTCAAAGACAGATTGAGAGACGACAATCTCGTAAGGAGCGTCGTTGACGAACTAGAGGAATTCCGGTCGCAACTGCCCCCTTTCGGGACCCCGACGGGAGACGACCCACCGAGACAGGACTGCTGTCATTACGAAGCAAACGTCTCGGCAATCTTGCTGAACGTCCTCTGCAAGTTCCCTTCCCCACGTATTATGACGGGTTCGTCGATAGCGTTGGACACGCCGACTAAAAGCGTGGAAGCGACCGAGAGATGTCGGTACGATCTTTCGGAAGCCAGCTACCGAAACCTGCTTCGGTTAGAAGAGAGGGTTCCAAGCGGGTCGCGTGCAGACGAGCGTCCATCGACGTCCGACGATCGAGGAGATTCCGGCGCCGCCGACGAGCTCTTCGATGCTTTGGAACGGTACGACAACGGAGAAGAAGAGAATGCCTTCGTCACGCCACCGACGACTACGGAGGAGTTGGAGGTTGCGCCGTTACCCGCGGAGCGTGCACCGCAGCAACGGGAGCAACAGTATGCGGAATCCGTGTTGGATTCCGAAGCCCTCGGCGACCTTCCCGTGATCACTGAATCTGAGGAAACGACGGGAACTGGAAGGAGAGTGGGCGACCGCAAAGGCCCTCCATCCAATCTCCCGTACGACTTCAATTCGCAGGACTATCGCGACATGGAAGAAATAATCGAAAGAGAAGCTGCCAACGAGGACGACGACGCCGGCGACGACGGCGGGGCAGCGACGCCGAC